CCGTCCTTTGTGTTAGTGCACCAGATAAAGAATGACTTTCATGTTGCGTGAAAATTCAAAATGAGATTCTAGATGCTTCTTTAGTCCGGAGTACTGCCAAAGGTGGTTGTCGAGCCTCTGCAAACACTAAATCACTGGAAGTTGACCGTGGCAACTCCAGACATACCCTCAAACTCCTTGCCAATAACAAGTGAAGTCTTCTTTCGGTGTAGGCTGGGCATCCTTGCAGCAGAGGCAGTGAGTAACTTACGATGGGGCGTATTCACGCAACATGTAGGGCCAATAGAAACTCTGTAGTACCACCCCATTTAGCCCCGCAGAGATGCCGGAGGATTTGAATGGCTTGATTCACTTTTTGTTCGAGGGACTAGACATGAGGTGACCATGTTAGTCTCCGGTCTAAAATCGCACCCAAGAATCTGTGAGTTTTTACCACTTCAATTGGCTGGTTTTGCAGAATAATCTGTAAATCTCCAGGTCTTTTAATGTAAACGGTAGTATGGCTGTTTTAGCCAGACTCAGTACCATACCTCTTTTTCTTAGAAAGCGATCTACATAATCCAATCCTTCTTGTAAAGTATGTTGTACATCCAAAAACGATCGACCAGACGTTCATATACTTATATCAGTTGTATAGACAGAACATCTGATGTAAGGTGGAAGATTATACGGCAGCTGCGAAATGACTGCATTAAAGAGAATAGGACTTATCACGCTGCCCTGTGGCACTCCTTAGTTGATGGCATGTTCTGACATTGAGCCCTTCTGCGTAACTACAAAAATTTGCCGATGCTTCAGGAAGTCACCGTGTTACGGGGGTTTATTGAGGTACACAGCAACCGGGGCGATAGCAGCAGCAGGCAAAGCGTAGCCATGGAGCGAACAGCCGAGCGAGCCAGGCGATGGCAATGCGCTACCGCATGAGTCCATCTTCTTCCTCACAATAACCACTGGTATCGAGAGGTAGCCATCCTGGCGACCTACAGAGAGGTCATTGGGTCATAATACGGCTTGAGACGGTTAATGTGGACAGTTTTTCGCCCCGACGGTGAAGGTCGGAAGACGGCGTAACGGGTTCAGCCACATAACTAACAGGAGACGTCTGCGCAACCACGCGGTAGGGTCCGTGATACTTCGCAAGAAGCTTAGACGAAAGGCCGGGAGCAGCAACTGGCGGGACCCAAAGCCACAATAGAGAGTCGACGGTAAAAGGGTTCATCAGGCATGGCCACCATCTGCACGTCTTCCTCGACCTCTTCCGCCCGAGACAATTCAGACAGGTCAGGACGGCAACATCTCCACACGCCCTGGAGCCTGCCGCGACTACGGACATCGTCACACCCGCTATTCGCCCCCCGGTGGTGGAGGCATCCCTGTCGACGATGTCCGAAGGCAATGCCCTATCCACGACAGCCCTCTGCGCGTCCTGCCAGCAGCCACTAGTCCTTCAGCCAAGCCTGGCAGAGCGGCATCAACAATACGAGCTATATTTAATCCCTATATCTTCGATAGGATTAAAACGCATTGATGGACCATTCTTTGATGTTGAACATGGCTTGTATCAAAGTCATTCGCTGCAAAATCTACAAGTGCTCCCCCGACCTTCCGGTGAACACCTCGCGCCTGCATCTCCTGGGCCTGGGAATTGTGAACGTCTTCAAATGGCTGCGAAAGACGCACTTGACAAACCAATATATAAAGGTGTACGTCCCAGACACAACCGTTTCGTCGCCTCCTTGCCTTACTACACATCAATCATACAATACATGCTAAAGAGCGCATGCACATTCCGGAAATTGCGAAATTCCCCTGCATATCTGCCCTCTTCCGTCTAACATGACCCGAGACTACCACAGTAGCCGGCGCCTCACAGGGGCAGGAGCCTTGGCTCGCCACTACACACACACACACACACACACACACACACACACACACACACACACACACACACACACACACACACACATACATACACACACACACACACACATATATATATATATATATATATATATATATATATATATATATATATATATATATATATATATATATATATATATATATATATATATATATATATATATATATAAGGGAAAGAAGTGTATACCTAAGGCCTCGTTTTTCCGTGTTTTAACACAATATTAATGAGATCTAACAGACAGTAATGCCAAGGAATGTACAGAGGAAGTTATTAGAACCAATGGAATGTAAATAAGAAGAAAGAAAAGTGGATGAAAAAATAACCAGCCGTGAGCAGGAATCGAACCTACGACAGAGGGACAATTAATCAGCTGCCCACTCATAATAAGTTCACGTGCTACGTGACGCCAAACATGCGTATAAGAGTGTTCTCACACTCGTTGTTTCGCTTATAGATGGCGCTGACTGTCACTCCTACTTCTAAATTCACATATAAAACCCCGAAAAGTGGATGGAGGGAAGGCCCCTGTGGTAGCTCAGCGGTTAGAGCATCGAACGCGTTAGTCGAAGGTCGTAGGTTCGATTCCTGATCACAGCTGGTTATTTTTTCCAAAGTTTATTTCCAAAGTTTTTTTCAACGTTTACTTCTTCCAAAGTTGAGAGCCTGCCTTCGTCAGGGAATACAGGGCACACGCAAAAACGCACTTTCTAAATAGATGAGTACGGTGAAGACCCCAACACGTGCTTGCACTATTATCGTCATAGGTATGACATGTATCGTGTCACTATCAATAAACATAGGCATTTGTGCGATATGGTTATGACTGTATGAAAAAATTTTAAGCAAAACAGAGTTTTCTACTACGAAGTATGGGGTATGCACAGAAACATGAAAACGGACAGTGCTGGGATATATACTAACATTGTCACGTTTATAAATGATGGTAGGAAATGTATACGGAAGATTCGTGGATTGCGCGATCAAGCGCATTTTAAATCACAACGCTTTGTGATAAGGCGGCTATTTTTTTATGCATCACCGCAGCATTCTCTGCATAAATACAAATAATTAAGTCATCCTTGCCGATAAATAGAGATGAATAAGCAGAACTGCACGTGTGTGCTACTTAGTGCGAAAAACCACGGACTTTACCGATCTGCCTGGTTCGTGGAATCAATTTTCAGGGAGATCATAAGCTGAGCTTCCAACTTTTCGATTCCTCTGTTTTATTCGTCACCACTTTGAAAGATGCTGCCACCGTTACAAGGTACCATAAAGAAAACTAATCCCTAATTTGGGTATTCGGAGACTTAAGCGCAAACCTTTTTTTTTTCCCTCTTTCATTACCGGAAAACCAAACATTGAGAAGAATTCATCACACTCATAGGCTCACAGTAGCTTCGACAGAGCAGCGGCGATTCTATTCCTTTTCTAGGTAAGAAAATTATTTCCGTGAAGCAGCAGTGCTTTCATTAGTCCATAAAGACTTTCCTCATTCCATCTGTAGCTACATCAGCCAGTCAGGCACAGCAGAATAAAAGCATGAGCCAGTGATGTAATCTTATAGGGCCGTATTCAGGGCTAGCCTGCTTTGCAATGCTACAACACAAGGCGCGAAAGCGTTGTACAGTGGTATGCACTGCAAAGAGTCTACTAAAAAATTTCACAGGAGAATTGTTCAAACTATTTCATTGTATGTAATATTTTCTCATAATATATTGATCCCCTCGTAGCATTATAACTGAGTGATTACTGTGGTCAAAGAAAACATCGCCTTAGTTGTTTTTCCCCCATCGTGCAGCCAACATTGACCACTGACGGAAGTGGGGGGCTTAGCCCCCCTACCTCTTCTTGGTGGGGATGCTAGCGCCCTCCTTGCTACCCCCGACTGATACGCCCATGGCAGCCAGCGTCCGACATGCCCGGAGCGTAAACTCGTTCTGTTCGCGTGCAGCTCGAACTAGGCATGAGCGGCGCAAGGGACGTGGCGCGGTTCCGTGGCTAAGAAAAGATGATGATGAATAATGACAATAACGAAGGCGCTACACTACGTTCCGTAGTTGGCTTGCAAGATTCTGCAAAACAGCGACTACCTAGGGGCCCCGCGAACCGAACGATCGTATGGGCTCCGGCTAACACTAGCCTCGATTGTAATTAGGCAGTCGATGCTGCAGCCCACGCGATTACTCTCCGGGCACTATCCGCATCCCGTACTGATCCGGACCTCGAAAGCAATCCCACATACACCTTCAATGAGATCACACAATAGCACTAACCCAGCCTTTACATTTGTCTGAAGCCCTGTATAGGCCTCGCAAAGGTGAAGGAGTGAATCCTCTTTCCCCTTTACACCAAAACTCTACTGTGCCCGGCAATCCTTAAACACTTCAACACCGTTTGCACGGAGAAGTGCCCGCAGTGTACTGAAATGTCCTGTGACATTTTCCACAAGGTGTAGGCGTGTCGAAAAGTCTCTAAATTTCACCGATCTGCCCCACACTTTCCAGAAGGACTGGGAGGCATCCCTGTTCGGCTGCTCTGACCTCACGGCCCAACAGACTTTGGTTGAGCGTGCCCAGGCCGCGGCTGACGCCAATGGGCTCCCGTAAAGGGGTGTTCACCTAAGGTTTGTAAGGGGTGGTCCCTTAAGGATCAGTAGGGTGCACATAAATTTCATAAATAAATGTCCATCATTATGAAACTGAGCAAAATCATGCGTGCACGTGTACTTCCTCCACCTCGTTCTTGCTGTATCAGAATTATGTAGCTGGTCTAACAATCACAAGACCTGTACTAACTATGAAAGACAAGATGTTGCAACAATACATCATTTTTTTCAGGCTCTCCTGTGCCTGCCTGTTAACGCATTTACGGCGTCGCGTGAGTGAAAACAGAGTGCCCCGTACGCATTCACTTTTGTTCACAGAATCTCGAAATTGGGGAGCTCAAAGCGCAAGCGCACAACCCCTGAAGCTGCCATTATTACTCCGTAATATAGTATTCGAGAATGTTGCAACCGCATTTCATTTCATGCTTCGCCAAAACTGCGGGTCTTATTTAAACACAATTTTCTCACCTTGTATGTTGCAGAAACGCTGAGCATACAGGTACAACGGGGCTACGGAGAGGACCTTCAATCAACCAGATAAGATGTCCAAATCGAGCATGCCGACGTATGTTCTGCACGTGAAGCTAGCGATTGACCGCATTTGGTCACTGCACTCCTCCTGCGGCCTCCAATTTCACAAATGCGATAAAGTTTCACGGCCGCAAGCATGCATGTACTACGAGACTGCAACTGTGGTGGCCGAAGAGGCACCTCTCACGCGTTTAACGTCCGACGATAAGCGCAAAAAGCGATACGAAAACCCGCGATAAGTAAGCTCGGCACGTGTGCGTTCTTTACTTGCCCGGTATCTCTCTTCTGTCCCAACTGTCTTGAAGTTATGGTATTCCATAACTATATACTGACAAGTAAGTTTGCAGGGATATGTTGTCTTTAGATTGACAGACAAAACTTAGCCCAGGCCGACTCAGTGGAATTCAGCTGTCGAAACAAGCGCTTAAACAGCCTTCGAAAGCCGCGACAAATCACCGCGCCACGACCAAGACGCACATTCGCTTTAGCACCACTGATTTTTTTTTTTTTTCAAAGCACCAAATCTCTTTCCCACCTGCCCCACCAATGCTATTGGCTTACTCAGATCATGTGGCTTCTCAGGACCATGTCCCTTTCAAGGGCTTTGGGTTGAACGTCACAACTTCAACTGCCTGCGCTCTACGTTCCGTCACGGCTATTGACGTCATGGTGGAGCAAAGGCAAGCCGTGATTTACGGCGGAAGTGCGCAGGGTCGCCCAGAAAAGAATTTCATCTGTGAAGCATAAAACAAGAACCTTACATAACAACACGCAGATGAACTGAAATAAACCATAAGACAGGCATTCAGGCTATTAATATCTGGGGTTTCACATCCCAAAACCACGATATGATTATGAAAGACGTAGTGGAGCAGGGCTCCGGGAGTTTTGACCTTATGACGTTCTTTAACGTGCACCGACATTGCACAGTACACGGGCCTCTCCCATTTCGCCTCCATCGGAATGCCACGGCCGGGATAGAACCCACGACCTTCGGTTCAGCAGCCGAGCACCCCCGCCGCTGTTTCACCGAGGCGGACCACTAAGGCTAGCCAAAAACCAGTACTGTGAAACTCGTCACCTGCCTGTTCAGAAGAGGCGTAAACAAAATAGTGACAATTCACCAAAATTATCGGAAGAGATAGCCCAACGTACCGACCTCTTACTCACGCTGGTATAATCATCACCGATGATTATGAAAAAAAAGGAAGCAAACCCCTTTAATTCTGATCCCGAAGGTCATAAACAACTTAACACTGATCAAGTTACTCAGGCCAATGATCACATGTGTCCTTGTTAATCGATGAGCAAGGTATACAAACCCTCCTAGAACGGCTGGGTTCCTCTAACGGCACCGGTGACTTGTCATGCGCGCTACTTTCCAGGTAGCGCACATGATCAAAATGTTTTTTTTTTATTTCAGAATTCAGAAATGATTTTATTTTGTCATCGAATCAACTACAAAAATTTGTGTAAACAGAAGGAAGTCCCATAGTCAGAGACTGAATTGGGACCTCCTACAGTAGTGAATATAGAAAAATTAATTGATGCAGCAAACAGAGGTACAGAAAACAGGAAATGAAATACATCGCAGGTGAAAACGAAACAGGAGTTCTACTTAAGAAAAACATTAGCAGAAAGCAGCAACAAAAACTGAAATGAGACAATATAAAAAGTAGAGGTAATTCAACTCTCTTAAGTAGTTTTCAGATAATTGCCATGGTGAAAGATAGTAAAAATAAACTACGAGAAAAGAAAACTAAACAGTGACATCTGAAATCAGCAATGTAGGATGATGATGTGATGCTTTGTCCATGAAACCACTCAGTCCCATGAAATAAGTATTAATTAGATTTTCTCTAGATTTTGCAATTTAATTGAGTTAGACAACACATGCAAATTTTCACAGAGTTTAATGATTAATAACAGAAGATATGATACTGAACTTCATAAAGTACGCCGGGCTCACGACAAATAAATAAGAAAGCTGGTGTGATGCCAGAATGGAGAGTACGCTATGCCCTTGTCAAGCGAATACTAAAATTATCTTCACCCACGCAACTTGAAGCACCAGTGGTTCATGAAAAGCGTTACGTTGCGCTTCTTGCAACACCACTTCAATGTATTGTGGCATACCTGACTTGCTTTCCAAGTTTCTTGTGAAAATGTACGTATGAACATAGTGTAGTAGCAAGCACAGTGGATGAAAGGGATCTTTTGATACTTCTGTTTGGTACAACTAGGCCTAGTGAGCGTTTGCTATTATTCTACTGAAGGACAATATACAACGCGTACAGAGTATGCTGAAACCTCGATTGTAATTGCAGACTCTGTATGCGTCGTCGGTGGCCGTTTTTCTAATCAGAATAAATAGGGTCAGGTACCACATTTTGTCAAGGACGAAATATTGCCAGTATCTCTTGTTATACGCAGCATTATCGTAGAGCACAGCCTCTGACAGGCCATAGTTAAAGCCGGTGGACAGGGTCGGCAATGTAACTACGTTTTGTTGTTTGTTGTTGTTGTTGTTGTTGTTGTTGTTGTTGTTGTTGTTGTTGTTGTTGTTGTTGTTGTTGTTGTTGTTGTTGTTGTTGTTGTTGTTCAGTGGGTGGCCACTTTACAGAGCATAGAAACTGCTGTGTGGCCGTTCGTCAGCCTACCAACTCTGCTTTTGCCTTTACGAAGCAATATTGTTTCCTGGATTGAAGCAGGAACTATATTCGCCATGTTCCTTTCTTTTTGATGTTTTCAGCTGTTGGCAGAAAGCATCCATTCGTACCATCGTCATTCTCCTCCTCCTAAGCTTCTCTATCAAGGTTAGAAGTGAGGATGAAAAATATACGGCCTCCCGTATATTCACAGTGGGATCTTCCGCAGCCTCGTGAGTCACAGAAAGCAGAAAAAGAACGGCATTCTTTTAGAGGAAATAGCTGGTCCAATCTCTTAGGCAACGCATGACAATAGTCTCATATGTGCTCCCACGAAGTACCATTCAACTATGCAAAGAACACCCACAATCAAATAAACCTCAGCCCCATTTGTGATGATAGTTTTTTTTTGGTAGGCCACACTGGACCATACCCGTACGATCATAATAGTGTTTTGGGAGTTCGCACTGCCACATACCTATATGATAGTTTTCGGGCAGGGCACACTGACACATACCCATATGATTGTTTCCTGGCAGGCCACACCTGCATATACCCGTAAAGTGATGATAATTTTTGGTAGGACACTCATAACCATGAGATGATAGTTTTCCGGCAGGCCACGCAGGCACACACCCGTTAGATGATAGTTTAGGGCAGGCCACGCCGGCACATACCCATAAGATGATGGCAATTTTCTTGTAGCCTTTCTGGCGCACACCAGTATGATAGTCTGCTGGCAGGCCGCGCTGGTACTTACCCGTTCTCTGATAGGCCGCACAAATTACGGCTAGCCCAAACAGCTTCGCTGTTGAAAGATATTGCCACGTTTTATTGCGGCTGCTTGCCTTTACAATACGGTTTAGCCGGTGAGAAATGATCATAGGAAGAAAAAAATGTATGCTCGCTTTTAGATGAGGTAATTCTTGGGCCAGTTGAAAGAGTTAAGTACACGGCATATGTGGGCGGAAAACGTGGATGCAAGATACTTTGAAATTGTATCATGACACGATACAAGATGCTCACGCAAGAATTATTCGAGATGGAGGTACAAGATACTACAATTCTGACTGTATTCGATACGATCGAATACGATGTATCGCAAACGTATCTTGAAATACGTTCGAAATTTGACATGATATACATTTATATCGTAGCACTAAATACCCATGTCCAAAAGTGCACGCTAGAAAATGTGTTAACTACGACCAATTTTGTTTTACTTGAACGAAATGTCTGTTGGTATCTCAGAAGTTTTTTTTTTTTTACCTCTTTCTTAAGATATTTAGTTTCATCCTGGAATAAATTATTTGCGTTGCTTTAGCTGCTAAATATGCCACTACGCCACTCTAAGGAGATTTTGCTTGCTGGTTTTGCAATTGACGGGAGACTCTGCTTGCCCATCAGCTAGTAGGTTGACATGTATGTATAAGAACTTGAATAATAAGCACCCGCACAATGGTGCAAGTACTACTGAAAAATCCTTCCTTGTCAGTAAACGTATCATGTTTTTTTATTGCAATAACGGATTACCCGACAGGTGTACGTCAACAAGAACATGTACAGCCCAGAGTTGTTTCAAACGTGTGGGACTGGTACACATTGCGATGCAGTACACCACGTGTATTCACACTATTGGCACTATGATATTTTCTGTTTCTGTCCTAGCATTTGTTTCACGACTAATGTTGAAATAAAAGAATTTGAATCTTAAAGCTTCGATTTCCATTTGATTAGTAACAGCAAACCAGTGTACAGTTGTCCAAACAAGGAACAAAAATATGCCAACAGAGCAAATCTAATGTCATCTACTAATTCATGTCATTTACTCATGACATATATGGAGTGGAACTAATGTCATATTGCCTGCATGCTCTCACAAGATTAAAAAAATGTCATTTTAAAATAATGAACATGACCTTAGCTCTCCTGAGTCGTGGATTCGGGATAAATAAAAAAGTATTAAAACCTCCGTATATGATGCGCGTATCCTAAAAAAATATTTATCAATAAAAAGTACATGCTCCAAGATCGTGCACGCAGCCGTTTAACACATGTTACAGCTGCACCACACAAACGAAATCAAGCCAAGAGCAACTAAAAAACCAACATGGTGAACGACATTACCGTGAGTATATTGAAGCATAAGCGTGCGAATTACTTACTCCCTGGCCGCACAATTGATACGGCAGCTTCAATTTCGTGTAGCAACAACTTTAATCACCTCAACACGTGCACTCGAACGATCAACACCTGCGTCACATGCAGACAACAGAGCACGAATGAAACATAGCCCACGTCAAGCCGCTTAAGTTGAGGATAGCGTTCTTTTTAAAAATTTGCGCCCTTACGTGTGTGCTATTACGTCATCAGACTAGTAACACGGTCATCTAGTATGGAATCAGATATTTACGAATTACAAAAGCTACTTAAACATAAGCTAAGGAAAGTCTAAATTTAAGGGCTCGTTTTCTTTGTTAGAGACAGTAATAATGCGAACAGACTATCAG